GAAAATAACCATCATTTTATAATATTTCATTAGTTTTATTAATTAATTATTAATTTTGTTAATTGACTGTTAATTTTATTAACTAAAAGTAGGTTTTTACTAACTAACAGTCCGTTAACAATCAGTTAATAAAGTTAACAGTCAACTAACAGAATAATTTTATTAACTAATTGTTAATTTTATTAGTTGAAAATAGGTTTTTGTCAGTTAATAGTCAGCTAATAGTCAGTTAATAGAGTTAATAATCAACTAATAGAACTAATAAAATGTTACAAGTAAGGACTATTTTCTTTAATTCTAATAGGTGAGGGGTTAAAAGTGTCACAGTATAAAGTAAGGTGTCAAAACTTATAAATCTAGTAAGTTAAAAGGACTAGAGGTAAGCTTTTGCCTTTTTTTTTTTTTTTTTTTTTTTATGAAAACTTATTTAGCCTTTTATTTTATTAAATTAATAAATTTTAGTCCTTTATTTTATATTATAACACTTTTAACCCTTCACTTATTCAATTGACAAAAATAACTTTCACTTTATAATGTTTCGTTAGTTTTGTTAATCAATTATTAATTTTGTTAACTGACTATTAATTTTATTAGTTAAAAGTAAGTTTTTATCAACTAACAACTTACAAACAATCAATTAATAAAATTAACAGTTAACTAACAGAATAATTTTGTTAATTGATTGTTAACTCTATTAGTTAAAAATAGATTTTTATCAATTAACAGTCAACTAATAGTCAGTTAATAAAACTAATAAAATGTTATAAGTAAGGACTATTTTCTTTAATTCTAATATGTAAGGGGCTGAAAGTATTATAATATAAGATGAGGTGTTAAAACTTACAAATCTAATAAAGTAGAAGACTAAAAGTAGGCTTTTGCTTTTTTTTTCTTTTTTCATTTTTTCTAAAAAAATTTTTCTGGTTCATTTCCCTGAGCATATCTAGCATTGAAGGAGAGAGTTTCAGTGAGTCAAAGCAAAAGAGTAGAGATGAGCAAAGCAGAGGACTTGAGCTGCGTTTACAAGAACCCAAATGCACCCATCGAGGATCGTATCAAGGACCTTCTTTCTCGAATGACCTTGAAAGAGAAGATTGGTCAGATGACCCAGATCGACCGTAGCGTTGCTACTCCTTCTGTACTTCGAGATCTCTCCATCGGTACCTCCCTTTCCTTTTCCTTCTCGATCTGACTTAAATTTTCTTTCAGGCATTTCTTCATACAGTTTATGGACTATTCTGAAATTTTAGTTATTTAGCTTTTGTATCAATTATCATAGTTATGATCGATATTCTAGTAAATTCCTCTCTTGGGCTTTTTAGAATTGCCACTTTTCTTCACGAAATTGGATGTTCCTTGTGCAGGGAGTATACTCAGTGGTGGAGGCAGTGGACCCTTAAAGAATGCAATGTCAGCCGATTGGGCAGATATGATCGACGGCTTCCAGCAGGCAGCAATAGAGTCACGGCTTGGGATACCACTTATATATGGGATTGATGCAGTTCATGGTAACAATAGCATCTATGGTGCCACCATTTTTCCTCACAATGTTGGACTTGGAGCCACTAGGTTGGTTTCATCTTCGTCCCTGTAGTTTTATTAGCAATAACTAATGTGTTTTGATAAATGAAAATAGTTGGTAGAGCAAAAGTAAAGAAGATTTTGTTCGACTTTTTTATAAATCATACAAGGCGTTGCTTTAGAACAAAAAATTAAAAGAGAACGGTTTAAAAGGAATCAGCTGTGGTACAGTATCTTTTTTTGCCAGAATTCTTGTAATCTAAAATATGCAACAGAGATGCAGATTTGGCCCAAAGAATTGGAGCTGCTACAGCTCTTGAAGTTAAGGCAAGCGGTATTCACTATACTTTTGCGCCCTGTGTGGCTGTAAGTCGTTGCCGACATAATTACCCATTTCTGTTTCTATTTTACTTTGATTGCACTGGTTAAAATGACTACACATACTGATGGTTCCCATAAAAGTTAGAAAACCAGCAATGATCATCAATGTTTATTTTCGTGGGTTATAACAGGTTTGCAAAGATCCTAGATGGGGAAGATGCTATGAGAGTTATAGTGAAGATACCAACATTGTCAGAAAGATGACTTCCATTGTGACAGGTTTGCAGGGACAGCCACCTGTTGGACACCCAAAGGGCTACCCTTTTGTAGCTGGCAGGTAGAGAGAAGATACTCTTCATGTGAATTGCCATGTGTATTGAATTCCTAATTTAGCATTTGAAAACTGAATCATGAATCAAATGGAAATTATTCTCATTGATTTACTTATTTGTTTCCAGAAACAATGTTATTGCATGTGCCAAGCATTTTGTTGGAGATGGGGGAACTGATAAGGGTATAAATGAAGGGAACACGACATTGTCCTACGATGAATTGGAGAGGATCCACATGGCACCTTATCTGGACTGTTTTTCACAGGGAGTTTCCACAGTTATGGCATCTTATTCTAGTTGGAATGGAAGAAAACTTCATGCTGACCATTTTCTTCTCTCAGAAACTCTGAAAGATAAACTAGGTTTTAAGGTAAAAAGACCTGCCTGTTTTCATTTGAACTTATTCCTAGATGGCTAATGGTCCCCCCCCACCTATAAAACTGCAGCATCATTTGAATTTTGAAAAATAACATTGTGGTTGACATTCGCTACCTTGTTAGTTTCTGATCTCAATGACATGCCTGAAATTTAGAATGATAACGTGGTGTGGCAATCAATTTTTTCATTTCTAGTTTTCTTTTCTTTTCTTTTTTCTTGCTTTTTATTCTACAAGGAGGAAGGTGCCATATACTTTGACATGCTAGTCAAAATTCTGTTACAGATTCTTCTTTTTCTCTTAATCTCATTCTTCTTTTTCTCTTAATCTCTCTTTCTTTTGATTCTTTCTGTAATCGAAAATTGCTCTACCACCACATTACTTCTGTGAGTGTTCTGTTTCAGGGTTTTCTGATTTCTGATTGGGAAGGACTTGACCGACTTAGTGAACCTCGTGGCTCAAACTATCGTAACTGCATCTTAGCTGCGGTTAATGCTGGAATTGACATGGTACAAATTTTCCCCAGGTGTCAGAGATAAAGTGTTCTTTCCTTAATTAGTTTCTTTATTTTCCTCACTGAGAAAATATACAGGTTATGGTGCCTCATAGATATCAACAATTTATGGAGGATATGACATATCTGGTGGAATCTGGGGAGATACAGATATCTAGAATAGATGATGCTGTTGAACGAATACTTAGAGTGAAGTTTGCAGCTGGTATTTTTGAATATCCCTTCTCCAATAGATCTCTTCTAGATACTGTTGGCTGCAAGGTAAAACTTG